AAAACATGCTTAATTTTAAGCTCATAAAATTCCCGCTCAGCTTGTATTATATATAAAAATCACCTGAAAACATCTGCGGGCTAATCAATAACTTTACAGCCACCTCTGTGCTTCTCGCTGTTTGTTTAGTTTTCAAGTATATCGATCGATCTATTTTCGTTTTCCATCCACTCAATAGCCGATGATAAACAAAAATTTCCCTTCCCTCTTAAATACTTGCTCCTGGTTTCTTTTCATCCTGAGAAAAAAAAACGTGACGCCCCAAATGTGACGCTTACATGTAACTGACATGCCAGCGTCAAATAAAACAGAAGGAAACTTATGTCATCCATCCCTCTGCCGCAAAAGCAGAATTTCTAAGTTACTCTGACTGTAATAGTGGGAAACGAACTTCTTCCTTTTAATAAACAGTCAACCCCTTGACTCCCCCTAAAGTGTAATTTAAAGACATTCTCAAGCAAACAGGTAATAAGAATGACAGATATGATCAATTTGGGGACATGGTGTTGATAGGAAGATTCTCAGAACTAAACAACAAATAAATGTAAGGTATGATCATGACCGAAGGGAATAAACTTGCACGTCTTTCATTATGTTAATAGTTGCAAACTTTGAATGATCCAATGATAAAACAGTATAGCGTCACATTGAGAACGTCACGTTTTGCCCTCAGGAAGAAAAACAAAAAGAAGCCAGTATTTACAGGGGAAGAAAAAAATCGATGTTAATCATTAGCAAATGAGTAGATTCAAAACAAAAATGGATTGATCGATATGCTTAAAAATTAAACAAAAAACTAAAAGTATCCAGTTTGCCTTAACACTTTTGAGGTAAAAACTGAGTCGAAGCAGAATGCTGAATATGAAAACGAAAACAGAGGTGGCTATAGAGTTATTGATTAGCCCGAAGATGTTTGCATGTTTTTCCTCATTATCTCCTTTCGCTTAGATGCAAATAACAGATAGGGTTGCAACCAATTAGACAATTCTTTACAATTTCTAGACAAGTTAATGGGCCAATAAAATGAAAAGTAGTGAAAACACTAGTCTCGTAATAAAGGTTTTCAAAAGTTTATTTGTACAGATAATGGACAGCTTAAATTTTGGGCATATCTATGATGACTGAATGGCAATTTGAAAATGTCGTTCAACATCTCGGAGAATATTTGTAACAGTCTCGTTTTCTCCTGCTTTTAAGGAAAAACAGAAGTTTCGCATTGAGAGTTTTGATAATTGCAATACCGTGTCCCTAAATTGATCATCTTTGTCATTCTCGTTACCTGCTTACTTTAAACTTTTTTAAAATTACACATTAACGAGGGAGTTCAGGAATTGACTGTTTATTAATATGAGCACCGTATAATACTCCAACACGCTATTTTTAGCCGCTTAAATTATGTGCACCTTCAATCTTCCTCCAAATTATTATAAACCAAGAAAGAACTATCTCTCGATCAGCATGGTCACGCGAGAAGTGAGCTGTCGCAGTAAAATTCGGTCATTTAAGATGAAAGTTCTATGCCATATCATCGGAAAAAGTAAATTAGGTAAAACACTGTAATTGCATGGTCACAACAAGTTACTCAAAAGCTATTTTCGTTTTGTTTTGTTTTTTCCTATTTTGCAAACAAGCCCAGTTAATTGTCAGACTTATGCAAACCAAAACAATAACGATGAAAATCTTTCTAATTGTCATTGTCACAATGATGTTAGCAATAAAAGTTGCCCTTCAAAGTGAAAAGAGGTAAATCGAAAGGAAAATACTGCATGATCTCTGCCCGCAATGTGATCCATTAATTAAAATTAGTGCAAAAAGATGCTTTATCACCCCATACCCGTAAAAGTGTTATTAAGGTAAGAAAACTTTTCTTCGCGGACTTTATCTCACTCCTTCGTAGTGTAATGCTTCTTTGGAAAAAAAGTTATTAAAATGGTACTAAAAATTCGCTTTTTCATGAGTTATAGCAGCTTTTTCGAAGATGCTTCAAGAGAATTCCTCTCTTATCAACATATGGCTAAATAAAAAATGACTTATCAAAGCTTTGGGCCATGTACTCTCGTGAGCATAAACACCTTTTTGGGGAAGGTTTGGGTAAAGGAGGCGCGAAACGTCACAAAAAAATCCTAAGAAAAAACACTCGGGGTATTACCAAGCCGACCAAGAGAGGTGGTGTGAAGCTCATTCAGGTCTCATTTATGAAGAAATTCGCAGAGTTCTCAAAATTTCCTCCTCAACGCGATACACGACGCTGTAACATTCACCGAACATGCCAAGCGCAAGACGGAGACCGCCACGCTGTACGGCTTTGGAGGCTGGAGAATGAAGAACTGACATGAAGGAAAAACTGTAGAGTTAGCGAGCGTGTGGAAGAAAGAGCGAAATTTTTATGATAGCTTCCAGCAGGACTGCAAGCTCTTAATTATGTTTTACTTTTGCGTACATTATTCATCTTCTGGTTTGAAATTAAAACAATGTACTATGTAATGTCTCCATTATTTCCCCCCCCGGGAAACCTGCTTAATTTCGTGTACCTGTGTAGTTGATGTTGCCTATTTTTTGTAGCTGTAGCAAGGCTTAATATTATACAAAGAGTGTAAAGAGAATTAAATTGTTTCTTTCGTTTCTACGTTTGTTTGTAGTCCAAGTTCATTTTACCGCACCCCATCTGTATCTATGGGGGGACTAAGGCGAGCTTAGTGTGGTCTTCGCCTTTGAAGTGCAAATATGTAGGAGGTAAATCTCTGGGAACCATTTTTAGAATATTCCAACGTGCCATGTACTCGAACACTCCAAACGTCAGTTTTAGAAACTCTCCTCAGTGTCCAACACAGGACGAAATCACATGTTTCCGTATTTCTGAAACGTGGCGGAAACATGCAACTCCATGTTTCCGTTATGTTTACGTCTTACGGAAACGTGAAAATTAAAGTCTACGTGTTTCCGTCACGTTAACGGAACGGAAATACCAAGTCACGTTTCCGTCATATTAAAGCCAGCACATTTCCGCTGTTGTTCGTTTCCGTCATGTTTCTGCAAACGGATTTGCAGTTTTTTGCTACATCTTACCAAAACACAAACGCGAGATGGTTCTTTGAACAACAAGGAATCTTAATGCGACAGCTGTGTTATTTAATCCGGTTAGGCCAAATGAGACAGTTGTGTGACTTAGGTCGGTTGGTGCCAATGAGACAATTGTGTCATTTGATCTGGTTGACCCAAATGAGACGAGTTGTGTCATTTGATCCGGTTACCCAAAGAAGACAGTTGTGTGCACTGAGCTGGTTGGGCCAAACGAGACAGCCAAAATTAGACATTGTATTACTTAAGCCAGTTTAAGGCCAAATGATACAGTTGTGTGATTTGCGCCAGCTGGGCCAAATGAGACAGTTATGTAATTTAAGTCGGTTGGGCCAAATGAGACCACTGTGTCATTTGATCTGGTTGGCCCAAGTAAGACAAGTTGAACCGGTTGTGCCAAATGAGACAGTTGTGTCATTTAATCTGGTTTGTCCAAATGAGACAGTTGTGTGATTTGAGCCGGTTGTATCAGATGAGACAGTTGTGTGACTTGAGCCAGTTTGGCCAAATGAGATGGGCCAAGTGAGACAGTTGTGTGATATGAGCCAGTTGGGTCAGGTGAGACAGTTGTGTGATTTAAGTCGATTGGGCAAAACAAGACAGTTGTGTGATTTAAGTCAGATGAGACGGTTGTGGGATTTGAGCCGGTTGGGCCAAATGAGACAGTTATGTAATTTAAGTCGGTTGGGCCAAATGAGACCACTGTGTCATTTGATCTGGTTGACCCAAGTAAGACAAGTTGAACCGGTTGTGCCAAATGAGACAGTTGTGTCATTTAATCTGGTTTGTCCAAATGAGACAGTTGTGTGATTTGAGCCAGTTGTATCAGATGAGACAGTTGTGTGACTTGAGCCAGTTGGGCCAAATGAGATGGGCCAGATGAGACAGTTGTGTGATATGAACCAGTTGGGTCAGGTGAGACAGTTGTGTGATTTAAGTCGATTGGGCCAAATGAGACTGTTGTGTCATTTGATTTGGTTGGCTCAAATGAGACAAGTTGTGCCAAATGAGACAGTTGTGTGATTTAAGTCGATTGGGCAAAACAAGACAGTTGTGTGATTTGAGTCAGATGAGACAGTTGTGGGATTTGAGCCGGTTGGGCCAAATGAGACAGTTGTGTCACTTGATCTGATTGGGCAAAATGAGACAGTTGTGTGATTTGTGCCGGTTGGGTCAGATGAGGCGGTTGTGGGATTTGAGCCAGTTGGGCCAAATGAGACAGTTGTGTCATTTGATCTGATTGGGCCAAATGAGGCAGTGGTGTGATTTGAGCCAGTTAGGCCAAATGACACAGTTGTGTGATTTAAGTCGGTTGGGCCAAATGAGACCACTGTGTCATTTGATCTGGTTGGCCCAAATAAAGCAAGTTGAACCGGTTGTGCCAAATGAGACAGTTGTGTCATTTAATCTGGTTTGTCCAAATGAGACAGTTGTGTGATTTGAGGCGGTTGGATCAGATGAGATTGTTGTGTGATTTGAACCAGTTGGGCCAAGTGAGACATTTCTGGGATGTGAGCTGGTTAGGCCAAAAAGAGACAATTGTGTCATTTGAGCTGGTTAAGCCAAATGAGACATTCATGTGAGTGGAGTGGATTGGGCAAAATGAGACATTTCTGAGACAGTTCTGTGATTTGAGCCAAATGACACTGTGGTGTGATTTGAGCCTGTTAGGTCAAATGAGACAAATGTGTTTTGAGCCAGTTGTGTCATTTGATTAAGTTGGGCCAAATGAGATTGGGCCAATTGCTCCGATCCGAGGAGGAAGTTACGTTAAAAGCGACAGCTTTTTAAAAGTCCCAATTCGCTACGGCATTTTTAAAATTAATTTTGCTTTTATGAACTTCCAGCTAATAATCAACTTGCTGTTTTTAGTTTGTTTTGACATTTTTTTTTTATTTATTTTACAAAAATATAAGAATGCTGTCAGGAAAGTGTGCAAGGAACTAACAAAGGGTGAAGGACAAGAAGAAGATCAGGAGAATCAGCTTAACTTTGATTTGAGCGTCAGGTAAAACAAAACGGAGCTAATGTATAGTTACAGCTGAGGTGTAGTAGGCCGGCTACAATAGCTATTCGCTTTTTCCTCGACTTCAAAAAGAGTTGACCTGTTGTGTGGCGACGATGGAGGAGCTTTTAGTTATTGTTAAACAAGATCTTAGGCCATGCTAGCTTGCAACGTAAAAATAACTAAGTGAATTTTATACTTGTGGGCAACACATAGTGTAGGTAGTGCATGCATGCAATTAAGCAAGGACATTACGAGTGTGCTCTCTTTCCTTGGGTTATTATAAAATAAACAAGATTTCTCGATAGGGAAACAATAGGCTCGCCATGGTCTAAAGCAAAACAAACAACAATCGGATAAATAATTCGAAAACTTATCTCATTGGCTGTTTGATTGTTGCACTAAATTACCTGCCGTTATGATTGGCTATACAGTATGTGATCGCTTCTATTTAGTTTTGCTCTCACACCTTTAATTTAGCTGAGTAAAATTCTTAAATTGATATCTTATACCTTTTTCAGTTTTAATAGCCCAGAAAATAAGACTATGGCTAGGAGAGTGCTAAAAGAAGTTCGCTCAGTGTACGGCAAGGACAAGTGGACAAAGGCTGTCATTAAGAGTAAGTTGGTTTTTTTAGCACAAGCAAGTAATACCCGTTGGTTTTCTTATTTTTCGCTTTTTGCAATACTACTCTACGTTTAGGGTTAGCGTATATTAGCACAGTGAACTGACTTGAGTGCGTTTATTTGGGATGATCCGAGATTACTCGGATCATGGTCAAATCCACTCTGAACAAGGATTCACCAGTTCCTTTGATGCACAGTGATCCTAATGGTCTCGGATCACCAATCTTGATCCGGATCATCCCATAGAAACGATTGAACTAACTGTATAGCTACTTAAATGAAATACGTAATTTATCAGTAAAGATAGAGAACGCCTTCAGAACTGCAAGAGCGTGCTTGCTGCTGTTTAAACTTTTTGTCGTTCTGCGCTAGTTAAATGAAACGGTCATGCTCTTAGTTATTTTTGATGAAACGTGACAGTAATGAACAGCACTGTTTCATTTTTAGGCGCGGTTCATCAATACTGGAAATCTCTTCGGGATGACAGAACAAGAAAAACAAATAAAAAGTTTGAAGAACATCGAAGTCAAATGAAGCAACAAAATCGATTAAAGAGAGTAAGTATCAGATTGAGAACCATATAAGCAAATGTTCAGGAATGTTGAGCTTGATCCTAGCTATGCAACATCGCGTTACAGCTATTTCTAATAAATGAATCCCTGTATTCGAGCTCTTTTCTATGGTTTAACACGATAAATACATATTTTGTCCTTGATAACATGTCATTTAATTAATTGTGTTGCTTTGTCAAAGAAACTTATCAATTTTTATATATACACTTTGTTTTGTATAATACTCACAATTTAAGTTGAAAAAGAAAAGTGTAATCTTTACCAGAGGGAAGTATATGTATATCTTGTAACAGCAAGGTGTCATTGGTGATAGCCAAAATGCTCCTTGCGCATTTTTTGACACTTTTTTTCTCTGTTTATATCGTTTAGAAACTATCAAGACGCCTTTCAAGCTTAGAGAAGGCTATCTTGTCGGACAACGACAAAGAAAAGGCAAGAGAAATTTTCTGTTCGCCAAATGCCATCGACTTCATGTCATCGGAAGAAAGCGACAACGATGATCCTGCTTCATCTAGGGGTCCGAAACCAAGGAAAGTACGTAAACTGGTGTGGGAGAAAAGTAAACTGAAGAATTTGAAAGCAAAACTGGACGAGGCCTATTTGGATGGACTTAGCGAAAAGCAGCGTCGTGCAAGTGCACGTTTGACCAGAACCGAAGAGCCATCTGTACGGCCTTGCCCCACCAATGGCCCTCGTTGGGCAATTCGTACCAAATAATTGGACTGAGAGGTTCCTAAGAATAGACATTATTTTAGAAAACACTATAAAGACGTTCATTGTTCTTGGCAAACTTTATGCCTGTTTTCATTTATAGTGCTCAGAACAGCCATTGTAACATTTGTTCAAAAGTAATTTGGAATGCGATTTGTTAAATGGTGAAAAGTTTTCTTTCCCAGTCTGACATAGAGACCAAAGTAGATATATATACTACAAGTATTTTGCGAATAGTAGGCTCTGTAATGAATTGAAGCTCTATTTAACTACAACCTTATCTTATGGAAGAAAAATAAATGACGCTTTGGCAAAATATAGCTGTAGTATTTCTTTGACTGAAGGGGAAAACGCCATAAGAGGTGTTCTGTAAATTAATTAATAAGACTTTCCACCTACCATGAACATTATAAGGGTGCGTTTCGGAAAGAAAGAGGGTTACCAAAGCTAGAAAGTTTCCGCAAGGGCAAGATAAATTTGAATTAACACGTTTCCGAGACGTAAGCTGTAGCGGAAACATGAAACAGACCTCAGTTTCCGGAACGGTTTCTTATGTTTCCGCAGGTTCCATCACCCATTCAGTAGCCCGGAATACGTCAACGGAAACATGGAAAAGACATGTTTCCGCAACGTTTTCTTGTGTCTCCGCAAATGTAAACCCGAAATTACGATTGCGGAAACATTTGTTTCTTTTAGCTGAAACTTGACGGAAACATGCACAAAAAGTGGTCCGGTTCCGTTGTATACGCAGCAACGGAAACGCGAGAAAACGTCACGAAACCGGTAACGGAAACACAGGTTATCCGTCGTGTTTCCGGAACGGTTTAACATGTTTCTGCCACGTTTCCGTTTACGGATTCTTGCAATTTCGTCCTGTGCAATTTACAGTATCAACTCAGATAAAATCAAATTGTCACGTAATACTCCCACCGAAGTAGCATCACAGTTTCTTCGAAAACGCACCCCTTTGTTCATTTGCAGTTTAGATTTCTGCCAAAAACTAACGGTTTCGCTCAAATTCAGTAGCTTGCGGGCCAATATAATCTCGTACCCAGATCTTACTGTAACGGAAATGTAAGTTACAACCGATTGGCCGAGAAAGGGGTGGGCACGTGACTACCTACCAGCAGACCTCTGGCAGGATCATAAGAGTATTACGGAGGCTTATGGGGGAACCAGGTAAATTTTATCGTGACAAACAAAATCGTCCAACCCCAACCCCCTTATTGTATTATGTATTTGAAAGGTTCCGTGGCTAAAATCTCTCGCAGAAGGAGGGTATGATGCTCATCGGTCTATTGCATTCTACAGAGAAGAATTACAAATCAAGGATTCATTCTATTTGCAGTCGAATTTAATACACAGGTTCTGATTTTACAGAAAATCTTACAAGGATTTGGCTGAACTTGGCTGCTTGTTAGCAAACATTGTTTTTAACTTCAAGTACCTGTTGAAAAAAATCCTTCGTTGGAAATTGTTTCCACATGTAATCGCCTCGCCAGAAGACACGGCCGAGAAAAATCGCAAAGCTGGAAGATGCTGGCAAAAAAATGAACGAAATTCAAACATTTACCTTGGTTATTAGGATTTGAATCTGTCGTTTTCGAACGAAGATCAAACACGCGGTTGTCCACCTGTTCGCACTTGCGCAATAGCATTCCCAAGTAGAAAGTTACTTCCGGTAGCCGTCGTTCACTCAAGCCATCTTCAACCTTAATTTCCTTATTTAATTAATTTCTTTTCTTTTAATTTCCCATCTCAGCATCGGCTGCAACCATCTGCCGAGATCTGAGGACTCTTTAGTTGACCGTTCAATGACGGAGGGTACCATCGTTGTTATCGTCAGTGTGTCTTAAGAGAAGTTGACCTGCTAAAATATCGGAAACCAATCTGCATTCTTCTGAAATAGCGGCTCCAACGTTTTATAAGGAAGCGAAAATCATGAGCAAACTCTATTGTAGCCAGTCTTCGCAATTTTTGCCCACATTCACCGAACTTGAAGATCTTCGCTCGACTTGTACCGCCAACTGTGTCCTTAACATTTTTCTTAGTTACACGGCCTTCGTGTTGAATATTGTGACAATCTACGTCATACACAAAACTTCAACAATGCCAAACACTTTGAAAACTCTGCTGCTAAGTCTTGCCTGCTCGGATGTTGCTGTTGGTTTGTTTAGTCAACCATTATACACTGTCTTTCTTATCAACTGGCTTCGATTAGACAATCCTGGCTAGCATGCGTCAAACAGATGGGCATATGGCCGCAGTTCTAATCTGCCTTCAAGGCTCGGATCACATAAGATCACCGTCGAGATGTGCCAACTCAATCCTCTCTTGCCAAACCAATCTAACTGCTTCTCACGATATTTAAGCTGAAGTAAATTCATTGCCCAGTCCATTATTACCGGTGCACGTACAGTTCGGATAAGTACTTATCGTCTTCAGCTGATCTTGCTTTGCTGCTTCCCGGTTTATAGAGCGAACAATATGAACCTTCCACTCAAAAACATCTGTCTGTGCCAGTTTGAAGTCGCATAGCAGATCCTCTCGTCTCACTATCGTAAGGGATCCAAAATGGAACTCGAACTTTATCTGCGACTTCATCTAAGACATTTCGCAGATTTTGACACTCGTTACAGTTTTCTGTGTGTTGATGGGAGCATTTCTCCTGGAAGTCGAGATCTTGTTCGTCACTTAAAGCGAACTTGCGGCAATGATCAGGACATAAAGCTTTCTCTGTATTGCAGTGAACGCGATAATTGGTCTTTAAGTAGCGTTTTCCACTCTTAAGCCTTTCCTTAACTTCAGCGCAACATTGCCTATTCATTCCTCCTTTCTCTAGATCATCGACAATCATTTCAATTTTCTGGAAACCAGCTGAACCATCGGCAGCAGTATTGTCGAGGCCTTGTAACGACTTTCTGTGTGAGGCTTGTCTGTCTTCTAGGATCTTGAATAAAGTGGTGCGACTGAGAGATTCAAATTTCTCCTCCTGACAGAACTGTATGTACTGGCTAATCATCGTAGACTGCGTCACGGTACGCACCACGTTCCACATCTCGATGGTTTCCCCACTGTCTAGCTTAAGGAATTTAGTTCCGTAAGACACGTCTTGATAAAAGTATGGGCGATTAATGAACTCGACGAAATGATCGACTTTGGTCATATCAATGCGAACACGATGACGTATCTTCTCCTCGGGCACCTGGTTGACTGAACCTTTGGTAGAACTGTGCCATCCCAAACTCAACAGTCGCTCGGAATGCTTCTTTTGGCAAGTGGTGTAAATAGCTATAAAATTGCATCAATACAACTGGTAAATCATTCGTCGTCTTCATCATCGTCATCGTCATCGTCATCGTCATCGTCATCGTCATCGTCATCGCCATCGTCTAGCTTAGCCTAAATCATTGTAAGAGAAATTCCAGGCGTTTCAAACACATCTAGGAGGCCTATAGTCCCTATCATGCGTAAGAGTTGTCGTTGTGGGTGTGAGATGAAGGAAAAGTGTTTTCGAACCGTAGGGACGAGTAAAAGAGGGGCGACATCGTGCGAGGCATGGGGAAGAGATGCTCAGGACTATATTTGTCTCCTTCATTGCCACCAAACAGGCTGGCCAGTAGTCTTGGTGTAGCAATAGCATAAAAGAATTAAAGAAATTTCCTCGGTTGATGATAAAAAACGCATTTTTGTATTTACGACTGCGACACCAATAATTAACCAAGGGAAATGGACATGTGACCAACAACAACAAAAACTTATAGGAGTATTGACAATTGAGGAAACAGAACTAGAGAGAGCCACAAGGCTATTGGTACTTACGTGATCTTACAGCGGCGATTTCTTTAAATATAAGTCTTATTTCGTCAGCTATTTGGAAGGTTATGACGTGGCTGCCCGCCACACTTGTAACTTTCCTAGTATGGCCGGGGTATTGGCACGATCTTGGACCTCGTTAGAATCTTCCTAGTTAGTGTCTGTGCCTCGGGCAGATGGTCATTCCTTCGAGCTGAATTCTCGACAAATGCTGAATTCCCGCTCTCGCCATGATTAATTTGGCTTCTGTAACTTCGCTGTATTTTGACAAGTAGCAGCTAACCATATGGGCGGATATATCTGTGTTACACTCGGAGAGCAAAACATGCTCTACTTCCTCCTTACTAGAATCAACTTTGCAGTATTTCGTTAAGGGAGCAATTTGGGGGGACAGCATGAATTTTTAGTGCTAACAAAGAAAACGTCTCAAGAAACACTGTCTCGGATTTGTCTGAAAATCTTACCGACAAATCGTTTTGTTCCCGACAAATTTTAATTGAATTAGGAAGAAATAAACAGGTTTGCCAAATATTCTTTCGCAAAAAATAGAAATTCCACACAGAAAAGTTAAAAAGTTTTAACTTTAATAAGCTTTAGGCAAAAACATTTCGTGTTTTTGAAGAGATGACCAGTATTAAAAGGAAATGTAGCTGCCGTCGAATTTCTTTATCAAAATTAATCAATAATTTAATTGGGTGAAACAGAAACACAGGACTCTTTTTTAGCGCCTCATAGAAAATGAAAATGGTCATATAAATATAATACTAAATTTTTGTCTTGAAAATGCGGAAAACATTCCTACAATAAAAAAAAAAAAACAGAACTCTTTTTCATCAAGAAAACGCCAAAAAAAAATGTCCTAAACTACATATTACATAACTTTCTGTAGCTAATTTGCATAATTTATAAGCCGCAAGAAAGCTCTCCCTCCTTGTTTGTTCTTCAGCGCACCTATATCTCAAATACAACGGCGTAAACGCGATATAATATTTATTTCTGATGTACAAACCAACCTCTCATTATTTATTGTTTGATTTTAAGGTGATTCTCGGTCCCGATATTAATAAACTGTCGGACCGTGTTTTATCGAGATAAAAACAAGAGCGAACTGAACAATTTTATTTGTCAAAACAAACTGGATTCCGTTAGCGCATTGTGTTCAAAGAAAATGGCTCTTGAAATTTTTACGT